ATATATATATATATATATATATATATATATATATATATATATATATATATATATATATATATATATATATATATATATATATATATATATATATATATATATATATATATATATATATATATATATATATATATATATATATATATATATATATATATATATATATATATATATATATATATATATAATTTATTAAAAGTTATAAAGCAGACTACAATAACTCTTTTGCAATGTCTTCCAGTACACAAAATAAATATTAATGTTACAAATTGACTATCAGAACTCTTTTGCAAAGTCTTTCGGTACACAAAATAAAAATTAATGTTAAAAGTTGATTATCGAAATTCTTTTGCAAAGTCTTTTGATACACAAAATAAAAGTTAAAAAATATTTTAAAATGACTACCAGAACTGTTTTGCAAAGTCTTCCAGTATGCAAAATAAAAGTTAAAAAATATGTAAAAACCGACTATCGGAACTCTTTTGCATAGCCTTCCAGTACACAAAATAAAAGTTAATATTAAAAGCTGACTTCTGGAACTCTTTTGCAAAGTCTACAGATACACAAAATAAAAGTTAATGTTAAAAATTGACTACCGAAACTCTTTTGCAAAATCTTCTTGTACACAAAGTAAAAATTAATAGTTAATGTTACAAACTGACTACCAAAACTGTTTTGCAAAGTCTTTTGGTACACAAAATAAAAGTTAAATAATATTTAAAAAATAACTATCGAAACTCTTTTGTAAAGTCTTGTGGTACCCAAAATAAAAGTTAAAAAAATATTAAAAAATTGACTTCGGAACTCTTTTGCAAAGTCTTTCGGTACACGAAATAAAAGTTAAAAAAATGTTTAAAAATTTACTATCAGATCTCTTTTGCAAAGTTTTTCTGTACATAAAATAAAGGCTTAATTAGTCCCGAAGTCCTTTAACTTAATTTCATATTTCACTTTTGTCTCTTAACTAATAAACGTTACAGATTAGTCCCTTAAAACGTTACGTATTAGTTTCTTAAAAACAATTATGTTAGCTAACTTAATTCTTTATGTTAAATATTGAGAGAAAATGTTAACTTGTGATGATGTGGCATGACATCATGACAAAAATCAAAATAGTGAGTCAGCAATTTCTTTAAGGGACTAAATTGAAACCTTATAGTTAGTTAAGGGACCGGTCTAGGACGATAACCAAACTGTGATTAAAATGACTATACTAGAATTTCATAAAATTTTATCAGACCGTAAGCTATTATTTACCATACCAAAATTTCATATCAACATAATCTTGAATTTAATAACATTAAATCAGAATTTTATTACAATCTTTGATTCAAACCAAAGACATTAAACCAAAATGACATTAAACATGTTCCAAAATGTCATCCGACACACGTACACAACTAAAAAAGGTGTACATAAACACTATTATAAAAGATGTACACAAAAGATAGACACAATTTTGGTAGACTCCAAGTTTTGACCTCTTTTAAAGTCTTCTTTTTTTTCTTTGGAATTAGCTTAAATGAAGAAAGTGTTGGTGTAGATTGTGTTGATACTGACTGACTTGATAGTGTAGATTTAGTTGATGTTGCCCCTACTTTAATTTTGTTAGTAATAATAAAAATACAACTACATAGACAACACATTTTTGTAAACAAAACTTAGTAGATAAGAAAATATGATTATAATATCTAATTCATTTGTAATCTAGATTAAATTAATTTGTGTATTTGCTCCTAAGCGCGTGCAATTAGTAAAAATATGAATGGACCACAACCACATTTGTTATTCATAAAAAAAAGAAGAGTACTAATATTAACATAATTTTTTATCAATGTAAAATTTCAGGATGCCAAATTTATGTATAGTAGGCATGTTTTTCTTTCTTTTGATAAAAAAATTAATCATGTTTTCAAACTCTAAACTTGTGTATAATGATATGATAGGCTTAGAATAAGGTTTAAAGTAGCAAAAGAGGACTAAGGGTATGACTTACAGTCATAGCTAGACAAACACATAAATACAAAACATAAGAGAATAAGAAAGAACTTTGGGAGTGACTGACAAATCCAGCTAAAATATGCATCATAGTTAACCTCTGAGTAAGTATAGTACTTAGTCTAAAACAATCTCTTGATTATTAGTACTACTTATGTTTTGAATATATAAGTAAAAAAATTAAAGGGAACGCACAACCAACAACTCAAATTACAAAATGCAGGACATTTATATTTTAATTCATATATAGCTGAAAATTAAATTAAGTTTTAAAAAACATCAACCGAAAATAAATCTTAATTACCTGATGTATGTTGATGACAATAGGATTAACAAAGATGACGAAGAACAATATTATACGAAACATTATTTTAATAAATATCCAATTCAGTAAATTCTTCAAACACTTTAACTGCAATCACAAAACAACAAAAATCCATGATTCCAAATCAAATAAAGATTGATTTTTTCCAACAAAGAAAACCCTAAAATTCAAAAAAGATTAAACCTACCATTGAATCACCGGATAACATTGAAAATTAAAACAAAATTAGGCATAACTCTGAGATCTGAAATAGCTTTGAGATCTAAAAAGGAAAACAAAAACGTTAGATTCAAGTTTTAGAAAAACGGAGAGGAAGAAGTGAAAGAGGTGAAGGAAAATTGCGATCTAAACGCAGCGGAAAACAAAAATTTTCCTTTAGTGATCCTTACGAATGAGCATGGTCAGTGATAGAATCGTTACCTCTTTGTGGCGATTCAGATCTTTGATGCAGCGATCACAAGCGTTGATGAAGTGCAACGCCTCTACTCAGTCCACACGAACAGCTTCCGGTCACAGTGCTAGCTGCTTACGAACGGAATTATTTGAGTGAGAAAAGAGAATCAAAAACGAAATTGCATCAAGTGAAAGCTTCATCACAAGGGTTCCTTTTATAGACTCTCTTGTGGGCTGCGGGCTAAAACCCTAATTCACATGATCCATAATAATATTATATATTATTATAATAACTATTATTATAATAAATATATTTATTTTATTATTATTTTATAACCATTATAAAATAACAATAATTATTATTATATTATCCGAATTTCTATTTTTTACTTAAGTGCACCGTACCTTACGGTGTTCCTTTGATTTCTCTATCTCTCATCAAACTGTCCTTATGTGTGTGACCCTGTAGGATTTCGTAACGTTGGTAATTATATTAAATTATATATATTTAACATAATAAACAGTAAGCGGTATCTAGCAACACATCACTGCTACCCAAGTCACGAAATTGTCATGTGATCTGACAAAACCTTTTTCGTGATAATATATGTTTGTACAATTACCCTTTTGCCCCTATGTCTATATTGAACACAAGGCATACACTGTGTCATCCTTGTCCAGTTCAATATTGGGCCCTTAGACATTTCTCCTGTTATGCAGGATTGGCAAATTCCATCTAGGACACTCATGTCCCTCAGCATGCTTCGTGGAGTGCCCATCAACTGTCTTTATGATCATCCAGTTACGGATAATGTTTGATCAGCAATAAAGCACCCGACTCTACATCTAGGGTCCATAGTGGTTTCAGGTCGAAGGGTGGTAATACACCATTATCACCATGAGAATAACTTATGACACTTTGCATAACATACTATGTAGTATTCTCATAGCGGGTCAATCCGGTATAAATATTACTCCTAATATTTATACCTATGTCAAGACTTGATAACTCTTTATCCATGATCCATGAGATGTGATCATCAGTCTATATTCATAATAGTCTCAATGCTTTTAATGTTATCCCACTTTGCAATAAAGCTTGACTACGGATATTTTAAGAATAATGTCTTTATGTTTAATGGGATCTCATGATTACGTCACACTTAACATTTCATTAAACAGACTAACTATTCTAGGGACTTTATTATTCTGAAAGACAAACATAATAAAGAAATGCCTTTTGTTATTAAACGAATAATCTGATACAAGTACCAAAAAGTATTGGCCTCTAGGGCTTACACCAACAAGAGGTGGTGGCTAGGGTTTGAAGAAGAGAGACAAAATTTCTTCATACATTATATGATTCAGCCTCTTTTATTTTTAATTTTTAAATTATAAATCAATATAAAATAAAACAATTCCATATCATCTAATATAGAACCAGTTGGACTACCACACATACACAATTTAACATAATTTAGCAAAACTTAACGGACAAGACTAATGTGATTAACAGAATGACATTTAAGGGACTTAGAACGAACATTTATTAAACAAGAGACTAAAATGAAACATTAAATTAAGTTAAAGGACCAAATGATGCATTAAGCCTAAAATAAAAGTTAATGTTAAAAACTGACAATCAAATTTTTTTTTTTTTGCAAAATCTTACAATATATAAAATAAAAGTTAAAAAATGTTTAAAATTTGACTACTAAAACTCTTTTGTAAAATTTTACGGATTACAAAATAAAATTTAACAAATGTTTAAAAAATAAAATGATAAATTAGTTAAAAAATATAACGTGTAAAGTTCGTATTATTTATAAAATATAAGAGTATATGAATAAAGGTAAAGATATGGGGTAAAATTTTCATTTCCTTGCTAAGGAAAGACATAATTGATAAAAGTCTCATTTGTATGCATATTAATCAAATGCCAAATAACAACCCGAATCATAAATAATAATATGATAGCTTATTTAAAAAAAGAAAATAAATTTACATCACATCTATAATTATTCATTTTTAATGAAAAAACTATGGAAGTTATAAAATTTTCTTTTTAATTTTCTGTCTTTTTTTTTCTCCTTTTGATTTAATATGTAAAACTAATTTTCTGCTCCAACAATATAACTATTATAAACCGTGACTTTAGATGCCAGTAACGACTTGTTAAACTAACCAACCAGATTTCAAGCCATTAAAAGTTCTCACTTGACCAATAATTATTGTTGTTCTTACAAAAGAGAGATCCAAAATAGTCATAACAAACTAGTTAGAAATGAATTTACATTCAAAAATTTGTACAATTGTGATCATTTTCTTAGGCATAATTTCTCATGCATTTTCTCTCTCAATCAGTTTACACGATTTCGAATGCATATCCGAGCATGTTCTACATGACAATGACATTGTTTCGGGAAACTTTGTTGTAATGGATCATGATATTTTTTGGAGTTCAGATCATCCTGGAATCGATTTCACCGTAAATTACATTTTATTCTTTTTGACCAAATCATTTGAAATGAAATGAAATTTGTTTCTAATTTGTTTTTTCTATTGATGAATGTGTGATCTTTAGGTGACATCTCCCGCGGGAAATGTGATGCATTCTTTGAAGGGAACATCAGGGGACAAATTTGAGTTCAAAGCCGCACAAAGTGGAATCTACAAGTTTTGCTTTCACAATCCTATTTCGACGCCAGAAACTGTGTCATTTTATGTTCATGTTGGCCACATTCCTAATGAGAATGACTTAGCAAAAGATGGTAATAATTATATTATTTTTGTCATTATAATTAAACTTGTACGAATGGTTAGATACGATACTCACACATGAGATTACATTTTCACATATTTGCTTTTGTGTTCAGAGCATTTGGATCCAATAAATGTTAAGATTGCTGAGTTAAGAGAAGCATTAGAATCTATCATAACAGAACAAAAGTATTTGAAAGCACGTGATGCTAGACATCGAAATAGTAAGTTACTTTTTTTTACTAGTGATTGAGTTTATTATGTGTTTATCAAACCATGAATCTTTGGTGGATGGTACATTTCTTCTAACTTTGATGTATTAAATTTTGGTAATTGTAGCAAATGAGAGCACAAGAAAACGTGTTGTATTTTACACACTTTTGGAGTACATTTTATTTGTGACTACAAGTATATTGCAAGTCATATACATTCGTCGTCTCTTCAGCAAATCATTTGCTTACAATCGGGTGTAGGCTTTATACTCATGCTGTATTTGGAATCACATTATATCACAATGATAATTTGTTTTTTCCTTTTTATAATTTTCTACCATTGATCATTTTGTTTTTTCTTTCTTTTTTCTTATATTTGTAACTAACCTAAATGTGATCAATTTCTCTATTTATGCAAAAACTAAGAAATGAAGATATTTTAGCAATTATTTTTGTTTTAGATGAAGTTCATTCTTACGAAAACTAAAAAAATATATGTTATTCCTTCTTAAATCATATGATATATGTTATTCCGTGGATTATTTATACAAGTACATCAAATCATATGATCGATCAATTGGAATGCTTAACGATTGCATAATATTTTTGAGTGCTCTTTTGGACTTTTAAATGGTGAAGAGACAATGGCTGCAAAGGATGGAATAATGGTGATCAGTGATATACTAAGATTAAATAGTGTCCTATGTATTTCTAGTCTTCAATGCAATCTTGTATTAGTGTCTCAACTACTAAAAAAAATTCTAATTATATTTTCAATTTACTAATAACTTTTGGCTTATACAAGACCCTACTTTGAGGATGTTGATTTGAGCATGTGAACAAAGAGAGGGGCTATATTATTATAAAGGTAGAGTCAAAGTTGTTGTAATAAAAACCACTAAGAAAATTTCAAGGCTCATGTTTCCCATTTGAGATTACATCTCAATAATGTTTTTAGCTACACTTAAGTCTTTTATGCTACACTATTTTTCCAACATAAATGGTTAGCAACAATCAACATATCATCCAAATACAATATCAAAAAAATCATATAAACATCATTAAATATCGTAACATAAATACAAGTGTCATATTCACACCTTTTGTTGTTGATCTAAAGCATATAAGAATCAAAGTGCTTGTATCACTACCTCGAAAATTACTTTAAACCATACAAAAATCTCTTGAATTAACAAACTATTCTTCTTTATTGAGTATAATTGAAATCCTCTTGTTTCTCCATGTAAATTATTTCACCTATACTATCGTGAATAAATATTATTTTCAAATCTATCCACTCTAAATACATGTCTCAACTAGCTACCAAAGCTTAAACTACCCTATTTGAAGTATGTCTGAAGACAGAAGAGAAAATGTCATCATATTCAATCTCTTTTTGTTGTAAGCACCCCTTTTCTACAAGACGAGCCTTGAACTCGTCTCTTTCTTTTTCTGATATTGTTGATTTTCTTTTGTACAACTACTTGCAACCGATAGTCCTTTTCCCTTTTTGATGGTGAACAAGATCCCATATTTCTTTTTTCTTCAAGGACCATGTCTAGTCCACCATAACACCCATGCATTTATCTTTCTCCTTCCTAGCTATAGCTCTTCGAAAGGTTGACAAATCTCAAAAATTACTAAAAAGTGGATTAGTTGCCAAGTCTTCATAACATTAGCTTTCTGGTGGCTTGGTGTGATGGATATCTTTGACACGCACAAGAGAATAATCATGTACTCTACCTAAATCTTCAAGTCCATGATGAATTTTAGTATCAGAGTCTAGTTCTTCTTATGGTTCAAGTACTATGCACATATTTCTTACTAGTAGCACATCAATATCCACCTAGATCACACCATTGTTGGAAGTTTCCCCTTAAGGTTCTAACACGTCTTCAAAATGAATTTTTCATCAAAAACAACATATTTAATGATACTTATTTGACTTTGTATAAAATTTGGATCGATCTTTATTAGATATATGTAAATAAGTTGAAAACCTAAAAATCCATCTTCATTAGATATATGTAAATAAGTTGAAAACCTAAAAATCCTTAAATTGTCAAGACCAATGGAAATATTTCTCCACACCTTATATGCAATTTTCTCCTAAAATGAAGCTTGTGGTGATTGCTGATGAGATGGTGCACCATGTTAATAACCTCTTCCATGAAACACTTCGAGAGTTCATCATTTAGCAGTAGACATCTTCCCTTTTCTCTTAGAGACATGTCTCGTACCTTAATTTTTGTCCGAACCATCTAATCATATTTGCACTTGGTCTAATTCTTTGCTTTTTTTTTTTCTTTTTCATTTTTTGCATTTTTTATTTTTCAAGGAACTATAATTTTTTTAATCATTTTGTATAAGTATTTTGTACAAGAGTCCACATTTTAATATAAAACAAAAAACTTCAAAAATATCTCTAAAAGCACAGTGCCATTACATCATCCATTGATCTATTCATTCACCATACATTCTATTATGCATCATATGCATACATTATCCAAAAGCCCAAATAAATCGAAATGAACAAAAGCCAAAATCTCATTTCACTCACATAACATCATCACGATTAACACCACCACACATCAATTCAAAGTTAAAAAAAAAATCAAATTCAATAAAAATGGGAACCTCAATTTTGATTCACTCACAAAATTCAAACACATTCTCACATGTTCCTTGCCACAATAGACCATGCACACGATCCTTTTCATGACATGTCATTCATTCATAATACCATAGAATCAAAATCAAAAGGAATCTCAATTTTTGCTCACATACAAATTTGATTCACATCATTCATCATCATATAACATACATCATTCATAATTAATTTTAGATTAAAATTGAACCAAACAATAAAATGAAAAGCAAACTAAATCAAGAAAAAGAAGAGTTTTTATTTCATTTAAGTGTCATTACAATTGATTCATTACAACAACATGAGCCTATTACATGACATGATTTATCCTCCTTCCTCATGTTACACCGTTTCAACAAAATTGCACAAATTCACTCATACTTATCCTACTAACAAAATTACAAACCTCAATACTATCCCGCACGATTCCTCACATAAATTATCTCAAAATACCTGATTATAAACACTTGAAAATCAAAACTCACACACTCAACATTTAACCTAATTCACGACCTATAAATCCTAGCTTTAATTCTACAATCAGTGGCCACCATTCATCTTGAGAAAGATTCAAATCCAAAGCTCTTAAACCTTCAAAAAGCCTCCACACAAAGATTCTTCAGCAGCTGTTAGAGTTTCACATCGAAACTATGATCAAGCTTGAGCCCAGCCTCATTTAGTGTTCATATTTGCTCATCATTAACATAGCAACCTTAGCAGCAGAAGCACAAAAGAAAAGAGGAGGGAAAATTAGAAGAAGAAGCATCAATTTGTGGAAGGAGAGAGAGAGAGAGAGAGAGCAGACAGATAAAGAAATGATACCTGGAGATTTCAACTTTGCCGGAAGTTAGTCCCTTTGCTGGAGCTCCATTTTGCTACATCCGTGTTGATTTTGGGCCTTTTCTTGTTGAGTCAATGGCCAATCAGCGAAAATTTTACTCATTACACCGTCATTTATTCCCCTGCCCCTACATTATATAATTTTTTTATTAAAATATCCTCGTATAAACAATTATAAAACTTTTTAAATTTAATTATTTGATCCAGAATTTAATAAATAAATTTCTCTTTAAAAACTACTTTATTAATATTCTCAGCAAACATGATAAGTATTATTTATATCTATTATATAATTTTATGGGTAATGTTAACTTGTGCCCTTGAGGCACATGTTAAGAAATCCACAAATAGAAAATAAGTATCGAAAAAAGCAATAAAATCATTAATGTTTGACTTGTATTAAATTTAAAACATAACTTGTATTAAATTTAAAACACAATTTCCAATATTTTTTTACTATATTTATCACTTAACATGTGCCCCAAGGGCACAAGTTAACATTACCCTAATTTTATAATGTTTTAATCAAAAATTTTTCGTTAAATTTTTTTAACTAATTAATTAAATATAAATATATTTATTATTAACTCTATCATTTAAAACTTTTGACTAAGTCACATTCTTATATTTTTTAAATAATTATAAATTAACAAATGCAATAAGACACGTCCTGAATTTTTTTAAAAATGCAATCACCTACCAATTCATTCTATTAATTAATATTTTATTATTAATAATTAAATATTATTATTATTAATTAAATAGTAATTAAATTAAAATATTTAACATGTTTATTTCTCAAATTTCTCTCCACTGAATCCTCTCTATTTATATCATACAAATAAGTAACATCTCTCCATTCATAACATCTCTCTAACCTCATAATAATAGGACATATAGTAATATTAAATTTTAAAAAAAAGTAAATAAATTAGACATATAATGCAAATCTTAAAATTACTTAATACAAAAATAAATTAATAAATATAATTCATAAAACGGTTAAAGTTCTTTATAACCCCCACTAATTTCATTATTTTACAAAATTATCTTCTCACTAATCAAATTTATATCTCATTAGTTAATTAATTAAAGAAAAAAAATTTTTGCGGTAAATCTTTGATGGAGACATTATAAAGTTATATAATAGACATAGATAATACTTGTCATGTTTACTGAAAATATTAATAATTAGTAGCTTTTAAAAATAGATTTATTTATTAAATTTCGGATCAAATAATTATAGTAGAAAAATTTTACACTTATTTATATGAGGATATTTTAGTAAAAAAATATATAATGTAGGGATAGGAGAATAAATGATGGAGTATAGGATAAAATTTTCCTAATCAGCCGACTTCCTTAGCATTTGGGATCCAGACTTGGGCCCAAGCACTTTACTAGCGCCTCACCTCAAAACCCAAGGTTGCACCCTCTACATTTTTTGTTTGTTTTTATTGTTTTATTTCATATTGGGCCTTAAGCCCATTTAGTGTATTTTTCTACTCTTTCATACCATTGTATTGATAGTGCACCCCTCCTTTTTTCTCGTGTTTTTTTATTGGCTAGTAATTTAATTAATAATTTTTAATTCAAAAACATAAAATTTAAATAAAATCAATCTTTTTCAAGAAAAAAATTACTTGATCAACATCAAGTTAATTTTCGAAACAAAACATTTCATCATTCTTTCATTTAATTTCAAAACCATTTCATCATCATAATCAAAAGTCTTTTCAAATCAATTTCAAACGAACACGAATCAAACACTTTA